ATCCCTGGGGTAGGTGTTGTGGGCAGAAGCACAAGGCTGGGGTAAAGCCCCAGGGAGGCTGTGTGGCTGGAGAGGAGCGGGCAGGTCCAGCCTGTACAGGAGGAAGTCAGAGCGTGAGGCTCCGTTCCAGCGTGAGGATTTTGGTCTTGGGATGGAGTGAGCTGTGTAGAGCAGCCTGGCTGTGTGCATCCGATGGCTTGTGGAGAAGAGCGGTGCCAGCTGCTTTGGAAGCATCTCAGTAGCTGTTTCTTTTGAGCACTCTGAGTGGGACTGGATCTTTCATCGCAGAGTGACGTAAGATGCTGTAAAATGCTATCAGATGACCCAGCAGCACAAGCGCAGTATTCAGTAATCTCCCCAAGCCTATTCTCTTGTGTATGTTCGCATATTTATGTATATGTAGTGCATGTGTATACGTGCATGTGCTAACGTGTGTTTGTGAGTAGGGATATACATGTGTGCACATGTGTGTAGAGATCAGAAGTCAACTTCAGTTGCCATTTCTCAGGTACCATTCCCATTGTTTGAGATAGGGTCTCTTTAGTGGCCAGGAGCTTGCCAAATAGGCCGGGCTGGCAGGCAAGTGAGCCCCAAGGGTCCGCTGGGCTTCCCTTCCCCAGTGCTGGGATTGCAAGAAGACATCACCCACCATACCCAGCCTTTTGACGTGGGTGGATTCTGGGCAGTGAACGTGGGTCCTCCTGCTCTCCTTGCCAGCTCTTTATCAGCTGAGCCATCTCCCCAGCTCTACACAATGTTGACCTATTCTTTTTTTCTTTGAGAATTTCATACACCACATATTTTGATCATATTCTTAAGGATGTGTTAAACCGTTCCCCTTCTCTGCTGAAGTAGGAATCCTATCACTGATTTTGAAGTAGTTAATAATCTTGTTTGAGAGGGCCAGAGTATGGAAACTATTAAGAGATTCTGTGGGAGCAGGTCAGAACATAGAAAACTAATTTTTTTTTTCACCCCTCTTTGGTTCCAGCTCTTGTGATTCTCAGGTTCCAGCAAGCAAGAGCAGAGAGCCTGTCTCTGACGGTGGGTGATGGAGAAGTGCCTCTCCAGGGTGGGCTTGGTCCCCAGCTGTGGGGGAGGTGTTTGCTAGGCGTCTGGGTGATCGAGACAGTCTAATTAAACCGGGATTGATTTATTAACGGAGTTCTCCTGCTCACATAATTTAACAACTCTGAGGTGTTGCGGGGCCTGGGGTATTGCTAAAGGGTGCTAAGGCCCCTGATAATTATTGCCTGACTTTGGAGAGGATGACAGATGGGTCCTCATTGTCTCTGCGAATCTCACTGGCAATTGAAGCCGGATTCTTTGTTGGGTGTTGTGTAGGGGGTCTTGCTGCTGGTTCTTGGCTGCCTTGCTGGCACGCTCCCCTCTGCATTTCCAAGGCCCTTTGTCTCTGCTTTGCAGACCCCCCCCCCCCAAGCCTCTGCTTACTCAGCTGCAGGTCTGCCTTTGGCTTGGCCTTAACAATGGGTCTCCTGGGTCCCTTACATTTTCCAGCTGCCTTTCTGTTTGAATTTATTTCCAGTCAACATGCTTCTTGGTCTGATTTGACTTAGTTAAAAAAAAAAAAATCTGGTCTTTTAACCAGGTCTGTACAAATATTTATTTAAGACTTACATTGTGTGCCTGCTTCTGGGGTGGAGCGCTTGTGAGTCCCTCAAGGTAAATGACAGTCTGCCTTAGGACAGACAAGCTCTGTCAGGCAAGAAGTAATGTTCTGCTGGTGTTCTGTCGCCTGGCTTATGTGACCCACAGTCACACTCCTGGGAACTCTGAACCATTTAGCCACCTGCTCATGTAGACCGCGGGACCCAGAAAGCTGCGTGTAATAATGGTGTACATAGGCATGTACTTTCCTGTCAGACCAAAGCACTGGAAAGCAATGCCTTCTAGTCTAGATATGTGTTGGAACTCTCCTGCTAGTTCATTTTAGACCTTTGCTTATTTTTATATCATGCAGTTTTTCCCCAAATAAAATATATCATCTAATTTGAATGGCTACTTATGACGCTGTAGAAAATGTAGAAAAACACATGAAAAGCAGGAAAAACAAACCTCAAATATTCCTGTCCTTCAAAGGTTAACCACTATTATCATTTGAGGGGGCCAAAAGCAGACAAGCGATTCCACCCAAGTCCACCTTGGTGAACCAATGAATTGGTTGGGGTTGCTTCGGAGAGCATGCGTGACTCACAGGCTACTACATTACTGAAAAGTGTACCCCAGCGTGGGTGAATACTCAGAAAAGTGGCATCTTTAGTTCCGATTCCCTTCAGCTCCCTGGCCCTACCTTAGTAAGAGCAGTCGTCATAAGAAAGCCCTGCTTCACAACTGCTGGCATAGCCCTCCCATGAGCCTTCAGGGTGCAGTCTGATGGAGGCTGACATGACCCGTGTGTGTTCTTCACAAGTGTCAATACCTACCCTACAGGCAGCATCTTGGCCCTATGGTGACTTTGGGCTGGGTTTACTCATGCATGTATGGAGTGCCTGGGACCTCTTCTCTGCCTCCATTGGTCACCCTGGGGCAGGCCTGTTCTCCAAACACAACTCATTTGTGCGTGAGCAAGCTTGGAAATGCCTCAATGAAAACCCTTCAGTTTGGTGGTTGGAGAGAAGGCTCACGTGGTCAAGCGCCGACTCCACAAGCAATAGGAACTAAACTTGATCCCCAGAACTGGAAGAAGAAAGTTGGGTTATTGTAATCTCAGTGCTGGTGAGGCAGAGACAGGAAGTTCCCCGGGGCTTGCTGACCAGTCAGCCTAGCCTCTTTGGCAAGTTTCAGACCAACGAGAGACCTTGTACTGTGGGTCTAGCGGCAGAGGTGGCGCACGCCTTTAATCCCAGCACTCAAGAGGCAGAAGCAGGGAGATCTCTGAGTTCGAGGCCAGCCTGGTCTTCAGAGTGAGTTCCAGGACAGCCCGGGAAACAGACAGAGAAACCCTGTCTCAAAAAACCAAAACCAGCCAACCAACCAACCTAACAAACAATCAAAAAACAAGGTGGACAGCTCTTTAGGAATAACACTAGGGTTTTACCTCCAGTCTCCACACACACAAACTCACATACCTACACAATATACATACACACATGCAAGAAGAGAGAGAGAGAGAGAGAGAGAGAGAGAGAGAGAGAGAGAGAGAGAGAGAGAGAGAGAGGAGAGAGAGAGGAGATTTACTTTACATGGAAACAGCTATCTACCCACTTCTATTGAATTAACTCTTATCCTGGATTCAGTATGTGCCATGATTCAGTTATTGGCCAAAGAAAATGAACTTACTACTTGACACTCTTGGAAATTCCTCGGAGGCTGCCGAGCTCTTCCATGCAGGTCTTGGGCTGATGACTGTTTACAGTGGTTTAGCAGCGAGAGCTGAGAGCTGGCCCAGTGGGGGCTGCAGGCAGAGGCTCTGTGGAGGACCCTTCGGAGGACTCTCGACTCCCCATGCAATTTCGGCTTTTTGCTCTTTGCATGTTATCAAGGAATTAGATGATGGTGATTCTTACGTAAATAACACATCTCTCTGAAGGACCCTGAGTTCACGAGGACCCCACTGGCTCACAGTGCCCTGAATGTTATTAATTCAGGGCATGAATAATAGTAATATTCGATATTTGCTATCCATTAACTGTCCACCTGGCAGGCTTAACTCACTTTCCAGTGTAGTTCTGAGAGTGAAACATGGCATTGGATTCTATGGAGTCAGAGAAGCCTCCCCTCAATGACTATCTCCTGTGTGTGTATGTGTGTGTGTGTGTATGTACACTTGTGTGTATGTGCTTGTATTTGCATATACCTGCATATATGTGTGTACATATGTATACAAACACAAGTACATGGATAGACCAGAAGATAACTTTTGATCATGTACCACCTTTTGTTTTTTTTTTAAAAAAAATATTTATATTATTTCTCTTTACCTGTGGGTGTGTATATGTTTATCTGGCCCAAAGAGGCCAGAAGAGGGTGTCAGATTCCCTGGGGCTAGAAATAACAGGGGACTGTGAATCACCTGACATGGGTGTTAGGAACTAAATTCTGGTCCTCTGAAAAAACAGCAAGTGGTTTTAATCATCCCCAACCTTGTTTTTTGAGACAGTCTCTTACTGGTGTAGAGATTACTAAGCAGTCTAGGTTGGCCTGACATGGAGCCCCAGGGATCCACCCATCTCCACCTCCCAGGGTTAGGGTTACCAGGGCATTACCATGCCTGTTTTTTTTACTTGGGTGCAAAGGGCCAAAGTCATGCACTCAAACTTGCAAAGCAAGCATTTAGTCTACGGAGCCCTTTCTCCAGCCAAGGGCGCTTGTTCAATTATAGATCTGAGGTGAGGTTCTTCATATACGGCAATAACTTGGGCGTCTACTCTTTTGAAATCTGGGGCTCTCCGTGTAAAGACCTGGTATCACCAAACAACTCAAGTGCAGACATTTTGAAGTCACAGTTTAACATCTGCCAAGCAGGTGGCCTTCTGGGGCACCCGAGGGGGAGGGGCTTTTTAACTGTGCGTGCCCATTGTATCAAGGCCAGTGAGAGAAGATAGATTCAAAGCAGAAATCCAGCTAGGCCTGATGGTGCAGGCCTGTGATCCTAGCAACTGAGGAAGCTGAGGCAGGAGGATTCAGGTTTCAGCTTCTCTGAAAATTTAGTTCCCAGCTATCTGCTTCAGCCGGTCGATTTTCAGAGGCACAGATGCCGTATGATTGACAAGTGTTTATTTGTTTTCCTTGAAGTTGGCCCTTGGATGCTTCAGAACACAGTTCTGGGCAGGGGGGCATGATGCAGGGAGAATTTGAAAATCATTTCATTTTCTTCTTTTCGAATTCTTCAATTTTTAGACATTGATTTTTAAATTTTTATTCTCTTGGAACTTCCCCCTGATGTCTAAAAGGCTGTATCTGGTGTGCTGATGAGCTCACAAACGAACCACGTCACCCACGAGGCTGTCAAATCTGAACGGTGTTTTCTTTCTTTCTAGCTGTCTCCGTCATGAGGTACAGCGCCTCTGCCTTTGGGTTTGCAGTAAGTAGCCTGGAATGTCTTCACCGTCATGAAGTTTCTGCATGCTTTCCCCAAGCCCGAGACTCTCACCCAGCCGTTAAACAGATGGATGTTTATGCTTAGCAGATAAGAGATGAGCATGGGGAGCACAATTTTAAGGGAAACCACTTCTGTGAAAATGACAATGTAATAGAATTATATGCCATCAAGATGGGATAGTTCCCACGTATACATCCGGGGTGCACATATTCTGTGAAGGGGATGTTTGAGAGGATGTTTTGGGAGTCTTACCTCTTTGTGCCCTTCCAGGTTGTATGTGGTCCTGGCACGCTGGGGTGGTGCATATTGAAGGTGTAGACAGAGACATTGGGAGTTGAGATGGATCAGGGCTGCTCACACTAGAAGTCAGTCTATCTGTAGCCCTGCTAAGGGGAGCTGAGTTTTCTGCCTGCCTCCTGGTGGAAATAGGTCAACACAGGCAGGTATGTTGAAAAATGGAGTGACATTTCTTCCTGCCCTTTAAGAGAGGGCCAGCGCTAGTACAGTCCCAAGAATTGAGGTGTGTGAGGACTAAGCAAGCGCCTTCCCTCCTGTGGCACAGACATAGGGCATCCCGTACTGGGACCCAGACCCACATCTGCCCTTTGTTGTAAGAACTTATTGCTTGGAAAGTGTCGCTTTGAGGGTGTTGCAAATTCTTTTAAGAGTCTCAGGAAGGATGCAGACTGTCCAGAAAATTACACATGCACACACTGGTACCCAGAACACAAACAACATGTACACAACCCAGAAATAAATACATAACATATATACACACAGCGAGATACATATACAATATATGAACACAACCCGACATATATAACACACACAAAGAGCGAAATAGAAACACACCCACAGCATAGACATGTATCCAGAAGTAAATACACAACATAGACACACGTGTGTATGCACACATAATATATATAAATATCCAGACACACACAACATATACATACTCAGAAACACCCCTCTCTCTCTCTCTCTCTCTCTCTCTCTCTCGCTCGCTCGCTCGCTCTCTCTCATACACACAAACATGCACACGCACACGCACACACACACACATTCTATCAAAAGCATGGAGTTTTCTATACAATATCAAACTGTTGGTAGACTTCCTGGACCTATAGATAAAATAGTTTCAATGAGAGTCAGCATTAGAATTCACCCCCAAGTTTTTTTTTTTTTTTTTTTACTTACTATGTATAAGAAAATGCCATTGCCATCTTGCCTGTTGTAGGAAAAACAGTTTTATGTATTTCAGAAAATTGTATCTCCCATTCCTATCTCCTGTCCCGTATCTCCAGCGTGCCAGGATCCTGGGGCTCTGAGAATAGAGCCAGCCATACGAGGGCCACAGCCCTACTACCAGGGCAGTGTGTAACGCCCAGGGTTCCACCACGGAGTTCAAAGTGGCTGCAAGAAGCATGCAGAAATATGTGTATTCCAAGACGCTCGTTCGAACTCTGCGTCATCGTCCCGTTGCCCTGTGTGTTCGCGGTTGTGCCTTGCTGTCTCTGGAGAACCACTCACGTCCTGTCTCCTTCTCTAGTTTGACGCCATCCTGGATGTGCTGTCCTCGGCCATTGTCCTCTGGCGTTACAGCAACGCGGCGGCCGTGCACTCTGCCCACAGGGAGTATATGTAAGTGGACTCTTCTTCCGGACTGGAGGATCCTTACTGGGAAGGCTTGCCCTCAGTCTTTGTCCTGATGTTGAGAAGAGGGTGCAGGTTGCCTTTGATGTCAGCTAGTGCACTGTCAGTCATGAGCAGGTCTTCCCTGGGATAGACACAGGGACAAATTATAACCTTTATAGTTTGTTCAGTTCCCTGATCTGAAGTCTGGAGTGAATATTTTCTTGTCTGTCCCTCTGTTCAGCCATTCACCTACTTGTCAATCTGTCCTCCCATCCTCTCATCTATCCATTCTCCCATCTATTCTCCCATCCATCCATCCATCCATCCATCCATCCATCCATCCATCCATCCATCCATCCATCCAATCCATCCATCCACCCATCCATCTACCCATCCATCCATCCATCCACCCATCCACTCACCCATCCATCCATCCATCCATCCACCCATCCACTTACCCATCCATCCACTCATCCATCCATCCATCCATCCATCCATCCATCCATCCATCCATCCATCCACTTATTCATCCATCTACTTATCCATCCATCCACCCATCCATCCATCAACCCATCCATCTACTTATTTATTCATCCATTCATCCATTCATCCATCCATCTATCCATCCACTCACCCATCCATCCATCCATCCGTTTAGCTAACCACTCACCAATCTTCCTATCTACTCATTTACTCCCTTCCCTTCCCCCTCTGTCCTCTTTTCTTCTCTCCTCCCTTCCTCCCCTGTTCCCTTCCTCCCCAGTCTCTCTCCTTAGTGTCTTCATTTTCTTTCAGGGTCTCACAAATGCTAGACCAGTCCTCTACTACTAAGCTGTATCTCCAGCTTTTGCAAGTCAGATTTGTTGTTGTTTTGTCTGTCATATTTTTAATTAATAATTCAATATCTAATCTATTAATATTGATCTAAGGGGTTTTTTTTGTTGTTGTTGTTTGAGACAGGGTTTCTGTATGTAGCCCTGGCTGTCCTAGAACTCACTCTTTAGACCAGACTGGTCTTGAACTCACAGAGATCTGTCTGCCTCTGCCTCCCGAGTATTGAAATTAAAGGCTTGTGCCACCAGCCAGCTTCACAAAGCAAAGTATTTTTGTTTGTTTGTTTTGTTAAGTCTACAGTACTGGTATTCCCAGGTCTCCCATCCAAGTACTAACCAGACCTGACCCTGCTTAGCTACCAAGATTAGACAAGACTGGTACATTCAAGCTGATATGGCCATTGATCTTTTAAATAACCTGATGTAAGACACACCTATGCACATAAAACATTCACAAATACACATAGAGATTCATGCTTTGAGCACCACTACTTGCCAGCTCTGGGACTTCACTATACTTCAGCCCTTCGTTTGGTAAAGTAGAAAAAAGAAACATTCCTCCTCCATAGGATTTTCTGTCAGGGACCAGCTCTGACCTGTCAAAGGGTTCTTGGTGGGGGAGGAGTGAGGAATGAAATATTAGATAGAAATATAGGCCTAGACAAAGAGAAAGACAGAGACACAGCACAGCTTTGGGAGGGCCTTGAGTCAACACCCAGTTGCCCAGAGTTTAATCATGATGGGCTTTTAATACATCAGCAAGGGGAGAAACAAAGGACCCCCCCCTTTCAAGGTTGAGGTATAAAGTACCAACAAGTGTAGACCCTTCAAAACACCTGGTAAACACGCCTTTGGCCAAATCATCCTATTATGCAGCCCTGCTGCGCAAAGCAAGCTCAGAATTTCTGACCTTGAGTAAGGCCTTACTTACTAGGGAACCTCTGTGGACCCCTACAATTTTCATGATGGACACATATGTTCCTACACACATATACATATCTATTTGTGTATATATGTGATTGTGCATACACATGTTTGTATATGTGTGTATGCCTGTATATCAGCACATGCAGGTTTTTACCTGGCCTCTATAGGTTTTGGATGGTTGAACACCAGTCAACAAATGATCCTCTGTGTGGTTCTAATGGTGCCAGAGAGGTGGTGTCAGTGAGTTAGTATCAAATCACAAGCAAACACGAAAAGGCAGAGGTATCTCTTCGGCGTCAGGGAATTCAGGCAGTCATCGATTTGAGGTTGAATGTGCTGGAATGCAGAAGCTCTTGACAGATGACAGCATACAGATTCATTAGTGACTTAGTGACAGCAAGGCGACAGGCCAGGGAGTTGGAGGGATGGCCCAGTTGTTAAAACACACACTGTACTTGCAACTGAACCCACACCAGGCAGCTCACAACCCTCTGTAACTCCAGCTTCTGAAACTCCAGTACACTCTTCTGGCCTCTGTCGGGACTGCATTCCTGTTCATATAACCCCACACAGACACAGACAAATGCACATAATTTAAAAATAACAACATATACCAGGCAGTGGTGGCACATGCCTTTAATTCCAGCACTTGGGAGGCAAAGGCAAGCAGATCTCTGTGAGTTCGAGCCCAGCCTGGTGTACAGAGCGAGTTCCAGGATAGCCAAGGCTGTTACATAGAGACACCCTGCCTCAAAAAACCAAATAAATAAAGTAATAAAACACATCCCTTAAAAAATATTGAAAAAAAAAAAGAAAACAAAATACCAAAAAAACCCAAACCCAAACTTCTACACATTGTGAAATATTTAGTTTCATGTGCATATCTCCTTTAACAAATGTGAAGTATCAGATTTGTGATATCAAAGATGATACTATTTGGATAAAGTTAATTTTGAAAATAAGTTAATCTTTTGGTAGAAAAAATTCAAGAAATGGATAGTAGAAATTTTAATTTTATTAAATTTCAAATGATGATTCTGTACCGTGGGAGACACTAATGCACTCACCCAGTTTCTTATGTGGGGTTTGAGGACTTCAACAACCCCATGAAGAAGTCGAGAGCTGCTCCGTCCGTGTCAGGCCAGGCACCATGCAGAGCAGCA